TATTGATCGTGGCGCGATCTCATTTTCTTATGCTTCTTAGACTTTTCTTTGTGTCATTTTCAAAATTTTCAAATGTTCCGGTGGTTACTTTTACTGTATTATTTATATTGATGTATGTGTGCTTTTTCTTGCTGGAAATTCAATGCTGTTGTTCGAAACAGGCAAATAAAATTAACAACATGGTGATAAAATTCACTTCAAATGTTGTGGATCCACCTGTGCTTCTTTATATGGGTGTTGATAAATACGAAAATGAGGAGCTTATTAAGGTATATAGACTGAACTCACGCTGTCTTTCACTGTCTTTAGTTTCACAATTGTAGTATGGATGGCCTGAAGACGTGTGGTTCCATGTGGACAAAGTTTCCTCAGCTCACGTGTATTTACGACTCCCTCCTGGCATGACCATCGATACAATCCCGCAAGAGTTGGTTAGGCTCTTATTCTTTTAGGTTTTAAGGTGGGCATGTTTAGGACTTTATCAGTGCATCACATTGCTTTAGATAGATGACTGCTGTCAGTTGGTCAAAGCAAATTCTATCGAAGGCAATAAAATGCATGACGTTGGCGTTGTTTATACTATGTGGGAAAATTTGAAGAAAACCGGTGATATGGCTGTGGGACAGGTAATAGTTCTCATCTTCCACTTGAGTCCATCCAGTTTCTAAATTGATGAGTCTTTTTAATTTGTAGTCGTAAAACAAGTCATATATGTGAACTAACCGCTTTGTTTTCGATAGCCTCCAGATACTAAAGTGTTAAGGTCCGGTTTGGTGAATTTAGATGGCTTGCGGTATAGTCGTGAAAGTGGTGATATGGGTGCAAGAATGTGCATTTCACACACAAATATAGTTGAGTAAAGCCTTTATTAGCTCAGCTTGGGCATTGATATAGGTATGACAAGTAGAGGGCGTGCTTAAGCTCCAAAGTTATAAAATCCCGCTGGAGAAGCATCTTTATTATAATGAGTCTTTTGATAACCGATTACTAGAATAACAGACTGCACGATGATCAAAGTGCATACCTTAGGGATAAGTAAATGGGAGTGCCAATCTAACAGTGCAAACCCATGGTGATGTCATTCTTTTGGTTTTTGTTTTATATACAGAATCAAGTGTGTAGTAGATGTCAGATGTGGGAGGGGAAAGGGGTCATGAAAGTGGTCTATGCAAGTCTGCTTATTAATAATTGGTACTATGGATCAAGCAGGAGTCGCTCCAGATCCAAGGCTGGCGTGGTCGGTAGGCGCCACCGCTGAACTAACGATGGAAATCGGGAGATTATTAGTGGTACCCATGAAATCGGTTGAAATGCTGTGGCTTTGCGACGGCCCTCCCGTTCTATCCCTGTAGTTGATTTATGTGAACCTACATCAACTCTACGCAGTGATCGTATTGTGTGGTGCAGAACCTAGAAAATGTGACCACTGTTTGGTTATTAAAAACTTTTTATTTCAAAGGCTTTTCTAGATTTGATGTTTTGTTTTGAGATAGCTTGAACTTAGTTTGAACTCACAAACGGATCTGGTACTTGTGGTGATAGCGAGAATCAAAGTACAACTCATTGGTGACTTTGCCGCTGTCGCCAAAACGTGCAGCACTT